TCTCTTTTTTTTTCCTTTCTTTTTTCTCTTCAGCTGTTTTTCATCTTCTGTTCTACCTACATCGCAGTGTCCATATAATCTGTAAAACTCCCTGCATAATTATAATAAAGCAATTTATATGCATTAAACAAGCGCAACACTATGGCAATAGCCATACTGCTCCACTTGTGAAAGTAAAATCTGTTGGGCTCTTTTTGGCATCAAGACAATTGTTCTTATTGCCACATTGCCAGACAGGACACTGTAAAAAAAATAAATAAATAAAAGAACAAGTATTTCTGGACGAGTGCTTCTATGTTTGTTATTGCATGTCTAATTTTCTCTCTTTAAACCCCAGTTGGCCTCAGATGGACGCTCACCCTGAGCCTGGTTCTGCAGGTTGGTTATCCTGTTAAAAGGGAGTTTTTTTCTCTCCACCTTCGCTGCATGCTGTGAAGGATTGCTGTAGCGTTAATGACGAAATGTAAGTGAATATCTACTATTGCCACAAGCTCATCCAGGAGTTTGTCTTGCAAGTCAATGACTTCATGCAATCTTTTTTTATTATTAAGATTTTTTACCAATCTGACTGTATGATCTGATTGAAATATCTCTGTAAAAAGCCTTGAGATGACATGTGTTGTGAATTGGCACCAACCTGAAATTGGAGTACTCTGTGTAAAGCTGATAGATGCACTGCAAAAGCCTTACAGCTGTAACTGCATGAGAAGGCACTTTTGGTACTGAAAAGAAATGCATGCTAAACTAATGAATATGAAAAAAAAAAATCTTGTATCGTTTTCCTGTCAAGTGAACTAAAATATAGAGAACTGTCAACAGGCTTAACTTTCAGAAACTATGAGGAGCTCTTTGATGAGCTGTAAACTGCTACATTTTTACTATTTGATAGACAATATTGCTTTGTAACAAACACGGAAATCCCCTCACAGTGAGAAGCAGCTTTAACTATCAGGTCAAACAGTGAATCTGGGGCCATATTAGATCCCTATAACTCCAAGCAATTCACACATGAAGAAAAACCCTCGCGGTGAGAACAATAGCAGCCAATATGGGTGACGGCAGCTGATTTTAAAGTGGCCAACATGTGCATACCAGTTAAACATCATCACGTCCCAGTTTAGACCCTGATAATCCACATACACACAGACCTGCACGTGTGTGCGCCTTGTTTGCAGCATGTGTGCCATGCAGCTCTGTATATTGAAGTTCAATGCACACAATTTATTTTACCAAACTACCTTCAGATAATGAGAATAACATTAAATGTGGGTTTTGCACATAATGAGGCACACCTGATAGAGCTCGTTTGCACACTTTCTGCACAGGTTGTGCTGGCATGGCAGGATGACCACGGGCTTGTTGAAGATCTCCATGCAGATGGGACACATCAGCTGTTTCTCCAGCGATGCCAGCGCTGCGTCTCGCTCTGCTCCCTGGCTGCTCTTGAGGCAGCTCAAGTCTGCTGACAGAGACATGGCTGCAGCACTGGACTTCACCTCCTCCTGCTGAAACCAGGGAACGCAAAGTCTATTGCTTATGAACAAACGCATCTAAATTGTTCTCCAGACAAAGAGTCAACCAAATTCAGTTTTCCCCTTTTTGTCATTGTTGATTTGCAGAAATGTTCTTGCTAAAGTGTTCTTTACACAAAAACCCTCTGAGAATTACGAATGTATTCAGAAAGATCCATTGGGAATGACTTTTTTTGAGCATTGTTTGCAACAACAATGGAAAAGAAGAGCTGCTTAGAATTTAACTGGACAAAAAGATGAAAATGGGACAAACAGCAGCTTATTTGGCTGTCTAGAGTTTTATTTTGCACCTTTGCTAAAAGTGTTGAACTTTCCAGTCCACTGTTAGAGCTGAAAATAGCCAAGCGTCACCTTAAGGTGAAGCTTAAAGGAGATCTTTTTTCTTCAGGTTAGTGGGTCATTCTTAGTCGTGTTGCCGCTTGGAATAGATGGACCAAAGTTCAACGAGGGCCATTCTCACAGTAAAACCAACCGAGAGCCTGACAGCAGAAACTAGCTGGATCCTTACCTTGATACGGTTCTTCCTTCTACCTCCTCCGACACTTGCTGCTTGTTCACGGTCTGTGCAGGGTCCACAACAGCAGTGGGAGGAAGAGGATGCATGGTGGGGGGACAGGGTTTAGACTGGTGTGGGTTGGAGGCGTCAGATTTCAGCCCAGCGCTGCTGAAATGATCCTGACACAAACACACACACACCATATGAGGAGTCGGCTGGTATGTGGACAGATTAAGACCCTGCCATGCTGTCCTTCTGTTACTCTCTGACGTCCTGCTAAATGTCGTAAATGACAGAAATCTTCAGATTTCAAATGAAATAGCTTATTGGACCCTTGCAAAAAGGGTTAGGGTTACACACAGGGAGAACACAGAAAAACATTGTGCTTCAAATCAATGAAAAGACATGATAAACAGATTTTTTTTCTCCACCGACTGCGCATCTCATGCTGATGATCAGCTTTTGGAGCAGACTTGGACGGATGGTGACCCCTTCTTAGAGATGATCAGTTTTAATAGATGTTTCACCACCTTCTATTTAAGAGCTGACCTGAGGTTGTGATCAGGAGCTGCTGCATCAAGCTGGAAAATGCAGAGATTACCAAAATATGTGCTGGATTATTAAAAGTTGCCTTTTAAGTTGTTTTGATCCCACTATTATTTCCTGACAGTAAGGATGGATATAACCTTAGTTTATCCTGATTCTATAATAAACATGATTTTGATGATGTACCCATAAAACCAAAATCATTGTCGCTTTAATTTCCCCCCACAATTAGTTTCAAAAGGGCAGTCCTATTTTTAAACCGTGATAAAGATAAAATGCAGTACTTAAAGTCACCAATACTTTTTTTTAACCTTTATTTTACCAGGAAGTCCCTTGAGATAAAATCTCTTTTTCGAGGGAGACCTGGCCAAGAGGCAGCAGTACAGTAAGACATATAAAAACATATCATAAACTAGACTCTACTTTAAAGATGTTCTTTATTTTTGGCTAAATTATATTCGTATTTGAATATATTCGTGAACCTTTGACCACTTAGTAAAAGAAAAGTATTCAATAACTTTTAAATTCCAACAAAATATTAAACTTTTAAGTTTTTCCCCATCACTATAGCTATGTCCTATTGGGCTGTTCTCCTAACATCCTGCAAAGCAAACTCTGCACTGGTGGCAAAGTGATTCTGCAGAACTTCTATTTAGGTTAACATCTCTGCTTGAGCTTTATCCAGAAAACAGCTCCTTCAATTGTATTATATTTCGCTGTAGTTCCCTGTGTGCAAAGAGGCGATTGCTCTTTGCTCATCTTTGTCTCCTCTAATATAGACTGATAAAACTGACTTGACTTGATATTGACCACACCATCATTAAAAAAAAAACAACACAGTGAGAGATTAAGCTGTGAAGCATCAGAACTGTTTATTTTCCAACAGAACATTGGACACTTCAAGTATTTTCCCAACCCCACACACACATATCTCTTTGCCCGACAGGTAGAAACACAAGTCCATGTTAAAAACAGGAAAATCTGCACCCATCTACAGGTTGCACTGCGTGTATATATACAGCACATCGAAAACCCTAAACATCCCCTTCAAACATTAGCTAAATTTAAACATTACAGAGACGGGTCAAAAAAATAAAATAAAGCAAAAACATTACATAACGCTGCTGGATTGTTGTCATACTGCTAATATATTCAAACATCCCTTCCTGTTGTGCCTGTGCATTTTTTGAGGCGTCAGGATTCAAGCCGGTTTCACTTAAAAGGACGAGATTAATCGAGCAAGATGTTTGGTTAAATGCATCAGAATGAGCATTAAAACCTGCAGATTCTTGGAAACGCAGAACTAAACATGGGATGATTTAGCAGCTCATTATTTCACTCCCTTATGATATGCAGAAATACGTAATGAATATGTTATGGAGTGGGCCTGGTTCACTAAGTCTTTAGAAACAGCCAATTGACTCCCCTGTTTATATGGGAGAAAAACAAAAACAAAAAAAATAATTAAGAGATCGATTGTTGTAAATCGCTTCTCTACAAAAGCAACACAATTAAATAAGACTTTGGACATCAGTAATTTCCCTTCCTGAACAACAGAAACATGGAAACAAACAAGGAGAAAACAAACACAGATGCAGTCATTAAGACAAAAAAGACTTGCAGTCAAATCTACATTAACTTTACACAACATTTACAGTGTTTTCACAAAACAAATCAAAAACTACTAAAAAAAAATCCAAAAGTAGGAGTTCATCTGTGTATAAATGAATACCTGTGATGGCAACGTGGCGCTGCTTACTGTTCTAAAACTATACAATAATAAAGAGACCGTCTCGGTCTTTGCTTTGAATACTGACGTCTGAACAAGCCTTCAGATGGAGAACGAGGACATTATTTCAGCTTCAAAACAAAGAAATGGAGTAGGAGGAGCGAGAGGGAGAGGACGCAACACCGACCGCTGGAGCAGCCAAATTCTGCATACATGTGGCTTTAAACCCAGACATCACCAGAATGCCCTCATCCTGTGACGGCCATATTGGATTTAAACACGCTGACCAAATAAAGGTTATTTTCACTCCTAACTTTAGTGTTTAAACTCCTAAAGAGGCAAAAGGGGCACCAATACTGGTCTACCAGAATCACACGAATGAATGGGTAAAACTCAACAGCCTAAAGCAGCTGAATGGATTGATAGCGAGAGCCAGTAGGTGAAAATGACTGCTGGATAAAAGAAATTAAAAAGATGCTGGGGTTCTCACATTTATGTTAGATCTCAAACATCTTGGACAGGTAATGGGACGGTTCAATCTGTCCCCTCCCTGGTGATTCAACTCAAAAACAATCCACTAGACTTTGTTTCCAAATTTAAAGACGTTTGGCGTCCCATCCAAGAAGCGGAAAGTGAAGCAAAATGTCTTCAAACTTGGAAACAAAGTCCAGTGAATTGTTTTAAAAAAATCTTTAAGGCCTATGAGCTGGATGACTGAGAATCTTCACTCCCTGGCAATAGGAGCGCGGTCCGAACGGCTCAAAAAAAGAACCGAGCTGGGATGAGAAAGATCATATTCTTGCATAAAGATGAAAGCAGCTTCAAATAAGTTTCTGCAGCCTGGGTTCTAATGCATGATTTATCCAAATGCAATCAGGGATGCTAACATTTTAACAAGCAGACGGCCTACTCGGGATCATAAAATCACTAATGAAAACTAGGGAGGCTTTCACTGTGTGAGGAAAGCGTAAAAATACAGCAGAGAACGACAGTAAGGCTGTGGCTTTAGCTCAACATAAAGGTTCTGATGCATGGAGCAGGAAGCCGGATACAGAGTTTGGCAGAGCAGTGTTCTCGTCTGAACATAAATATTAATCTAAAGTCAAAAGGGAGGTCATTATAAAAATCCAAGATTGTTAATATCTGAAGAAAGAACAGGTACTGAAAGCTAAAGCAGAGATACCCAACTGTACCGTCTGATGTGCACAACAGCAGTTATTAGCAAGGATGTAAATATTAGCAGAAAAACTTTTATCCAACATGGCCGCTATAGGAAGTGAAAAGCTGTAAGATGATGTTGACAGTTTCAGCTGGGTTTAATCCTCATTCATTTTGGAAGACTGCTGACAAAAAAGGTCGCTAAAGGGGGGAAAGAATCTGATTCATAATGGCACCTGGTTCTTAAATCTGAAGGGAACTCGTCATCATGAACGGCATAATGCATCTATAAGAATTCTCATTTAAAAGAGCAATTAAATGATGAATGAGCAGGTTTATGAAATCAAATAAAAAAATTTCATTTTTTACAGCTTCAGGAAGCACAATCTCGACTGAAGGGTTTGACACATCTTCAAAGTAATGCTGGTGATCATACAGACAATTGCAACAGGAAATTATCCATCAATATAATAGGCTGGAACCATCATACATCCAAGGAGAAAAACTACAGTTTTATTTCACAATTTTTCAAATAAAACTCTTAAAAGTTATTGCATAAATCATTAGTTAAATCTCTTATCGTCTCCAATATATATATTAAAAAAACATTTTAGTAAAAGTGGTTTTATTTGGAGGGTTATAGGGGTGAGCTTCCTCTAGCTGGTAACATCAGCGCCCGTGGAATAAATAATCCAAAAACACAACCAGATAAAGTGGGAATAATCTAGTAAAATTATAAATTTTTTTGTATATCTCCCTTCCTTCTCCCTCTAGGCTTCTTCCTGTCCATTCAGCTAATTTCAAACATATAATTTAAGAAAAGAAACTAAAAAAATAAACCTATAACCTAATGTCCTATTTTTATTGAATTCATCTGCAGGCTGAGGGTGAGATTGAAAAAAAGGGACAAGCTGGAAAAATGTCTGATGTAAATGTGAATGCAAAGTATGCATCAGTCCACCTGGTTCAGGGGTGTGTGTGTGTGTTTGAGAGTGCTGCTGAGAGACTAAACAGCTGTTAGGGCTGGGAAGGATCGTTGGAGATGCATAAAAACCCATTTTGTTTTGACACACCTTTCTCCATCCCTCTGGGCCACGTTTGAATACATCTTAGTACATTAACACATCTTTATAGCCAGTAAATTTATTTATCAGACCATGTTCCGCCCAAAGATGGAACAAGGTCAGAAACAGAGCGGCAGAAATGCAGCAAACTACAGCTGGATTTCCACCAAAATTCTTACATTTTAGGTTCTAGATGTTCGACAGATTGACTGCTGAATTGGAATTAAATAATTTAAAGTCATATTTACACATTTTTCTAAAGCCTTAATGTTCCTGTACACACTTAAATGTTAAAAAGCCATGTTCTGTCTGTTGGAAGAATATAGAAAAAGGTGCCCTCCTGTTTTTTGAGGTCTACATTTGTACCTTTTAGCACTAGTTTTTGATTAAATTTCAGCATTTAGTGTTTTCATTAAAAATCTGGAGCAAATTTCAGCTGAAATCATAAATTTCAGGCTGTAAGTATTTCAAAAAAGTATGTTTGGCACGATAAACACTGCATATTACAGGGAACCTTGGTGGTGGCAGCATCATGCTGTGGGATTTCTGCTCATTATTTGCAACTGGAGAGTTTTTTAAGACAGTAGAAACTATAAACAGAAGAGATTCCAATTCAAATAGAGTCAGCTAGAAAGCTAAAGCTGAACAGGGACGTTTTTTGGAAAAAATCCTGGAAGGTCACCAGAAAAGGGCTTTAAGCAAGACATATCTTTAACTTATTGAGGATTCAAGATAGAGGTGGCAAGTATTCCCAGTAAGATGTGGGATGCTGGTAGAGTTTTTTTGGGGAAAAAGGCAGAATGCTGACATTGAATCAAAACGTGTCTCAGGTAATATGTGTGCAAATATCTGCAACCGGATTTGTAATTTCAGCAGCACAACATACAGGACCGTTAAAGTGGGTAATGTTTTGGAATAATTGATAAATCTTATTCTATGTTAGAAAAAAAGATAATCGGACTCAGTAAGCTGCTGACACTGACCCATAGAGAGAATAAACAGACTAGCCTCTCGGTTCTGGCAACGAGGAGGAAGACGTGCTACGACTGGTTCCTGTGACATGTGGGTTAAGTTATTGCTCTAAATCTAATGCATCCACATGTATTAATCCTCTTTAAGTCGTGTTCGTCTAAATTATTCAGGAAAAACTAAAGTGGATGTACCTCTCAGCCCTAGCAGCCTCTTCTTGCCTTGTGAGGTGTGTGTGTGTGTTTCTGTAAGCGTGTCTAGTATGAGTCGGTCTTGTAGCTGTGATGTGCATCAGAGGTGAGCTGGGTAGTTTCTGTGGCCGATGACGGCTGAACCATGATGGGATCGCTGCCATCTGGGGAGGAGACAAACAAGAAAACATGAATATTTTGAAAAAAATCTGAGCATTTTAAATTTTTTACAGAAGTAGTGGCTTGTTTTTTCTACAGTAGGCTGACAGGAAAGGGGGTATGAGAGAGGGGGAGAGACATACTGCGAAGAACCACAGGCCAGATTCGAACCCAAGTCGGCAGCGTGAGGACTAAGGCCTCCGTACAATGGTCGTGCGCACTAACCCCTGCACCAACGCCCTGGATTGATTTTCAACCCGACAGATCTAAAGGGCAGATTATACTTCTGAAACCGCACAAGTCAAATGTCGCTTGGGTCTGGTTGCCAACAAGTTTTGCTGGTATGCTTCTGCACAGTCAGTCTGGAATTTCTAGTAGTCAGGATCTTTTTTAAGGTGCGTGACCTAGGGTTGTCAAAAGTATCGATACTCAAAAAAGTATCCATACTGAAAAGTTGTATCCGGATACAATACTCATTTTCAAAAGTATCGATACAGTGCTACCACCAGTGGCTCCTAAACAGTCATTCATCTTAAGCGCAGATTAGAGGAAAATGCACCTTCTGAGCACTGTGTGATTGAATAATTCTGTGCACTTTTCAGTTTCAGACTTTTTTCTGTAACAGGTGCAGCTGCTGAGAATTATTTTAGTTTTTTAACTGGTTTGGCTAGTGTCATTGTTATGTGTGTAAAGCATAGCCAAGGAAGGAACACTTAATTTTAATTTTGTAAGTTTTTCATCAAGCTTGCTTAATACTGTGCACAGCATACAACCTCAAAATATTGTTTATTGTATTTATTTATCTATTTATTGTATTTTGTTTATTAATGAAAACATTTTTGTTAAATTTTGGAGTCTTTGTTTTTATCCTTGTGGTATCGAAAATGACATTGAGTATCGAATATTTTACTTAGTATCGGTATCAAGTTGAAAAGTTTAGTATTGTGACAACCCTAGCGTGACCAGACCTGCTGCACAGAGGTTCTGCAACCGTCGTCGCACAGAGACGGATTTGACGGTTTTAGAGGCTATATGTCAGAAGCATAAATTGGCTTTAAGGCTATGTTCATGCTGTATATCAAATAATTTCACTGTCATAGCCTCCGTATTTTTTATGCTTTTGTACGGTGACCTTGAGTGTCCAGAAAGGCGCCTTTTTAAATAAAATGTATTATTATTATTATATCTGGCTTTTCAAGGAGGCCTGAACAGCCAAATATTAACCTGTTCACATAGGAAGAAAATCCATAATATGTGGAGCTAAAACAGATACGCATTTATTAGTATTCCAAGCGCCTGAAGTCTGAACTGTCATGTCGCATTTAATGCAACGTTGATAACATTGATATGGATCTCTCAAACGTCTCTACAGCAGCAGCAATCACTGCTCTACTAAACATCACACTTTTGTTCTTACCTTCATAATTATTTTGTTGGTCACTATATTGTCTGTTCCTATTGCTAAACAGCTTAATATTGAGACAGAGACACTGGTATCCGTTATTAATGCCATACATGGTGCGTTGCTGTGTGAAGCTTATGTTTTGCAAATGCAGAACATAAGCGTGCTTTGGGGTCAAAAACATCACATGTCTGGTTTTGGTTGGGTATGAATATTAGAATGAACAATGGAGCAGGAATAATCAGATTTAAGCCAAAAATACGAATTGAGCCTGAAGACCCTCAGAGTGAATGCAGCCTAAATGTTGCAGGTCATCAGGCGTGGAGGACTCCATCAATGTGAGCTGAATATTTAATGAACTCCCAGACTTTAAACAGAGAACGTGCAAAAACAGTCAAAGGGATCAAAAGGCCTACTGGTTCTAGAAAAGTTTAGATATGATAAAAAAAAAAAAAAGGGGGGTAAATCCAGCTGGAAGATCCACAGAAAGCAAGGCTTATTCTCCTTCTTCCTCTAAGGTCTATCAGGTTTGAGGGCAACATTCTGGCATTTTCCTTGTCTGTTTTCTAACATCCAAACAGAAGTGAACTATTTTTAATTGGGTTGGATTCAGACGACTTTTCCAGAACTATTTATTGGGTTTGCTGTGGGAAGAAAAGAAAACTCTACTTTCTCACTCATCTTGTGTTTTTAGTTTGATGTTATTGTTTATATGTTATGCTGTTTGTTTTGGTCAGGACTATCTTAAAAAGCATGCATTTAAACTCAGTGTTAATTTGCCTTATTGAGTAAAGACAAACCTTCAAAGTTCTTAACTTCTGTTTCCTAACTCGATTAGGATGTAAAAAAAAAACTAAGTAACCAAAAAAAGCAAAGAGGTTCGACTTTTTTAAAGACCAAGGTGTTATAATCTACATATGAATCTTGAAAATGGATATTTTCCAAAGCAGCTATCATTTTAGTTTTTCCTCTGTGTCCTTGAACTCACCTCTTTCCTCAGCTGTCATCTGGGCCTCCAGGTCCTCGGGGGACACGTAGAATTCAGGGTCCTGGTCCATCGGCGGTCGAGGTTTACATTTACCACAGCAGCAGTTACAGCAGCAGCACAGGCAACAGCAGCAGTAGCAACCTGTCGCCAGGCAGCAGAAGGCGAACAAAGCCTGTGGGGGTAAAGGTCAAGCAAGCACAAAGTGAGACCTGAGGGAACACTTCCAACAACAAGGTTCTTTCAACAGCAGAGGAAGAGCTGAATAACATAACAAATCACTGCATCTTTCATGTTGTCAAAAAATAAAAATCTGCAATATATGGTAGGATATTATAATAATAAAGATATGTATGTAAATTTATGATGCCTTTACAGGATATAAAATCCGTCAGTTTTATATATGTAAACCAACTTCAAATAGCTTTAAATTGTGAGTGAAAAAACTGGATGACAGTGAGCGATCAGACGTACCTTGGCCCACCAGCTGGACAAAACAAAGTAGGTGTTGACGTTCTCCTCTCCGAACTGCTCGGCCACGTAGAGACCCAGCGATCCGTACTTGTCGTAGATGTTCTTCTTGGTGGGGTCCACCAGGATGGAGTGAGCATTGTTTATTTCTTTAAACTTTTCAGCTGCGTCCGGGTTATCTGGGTTTTTGTCTGGGTGAAACTTCAGTGCCAGTTTTCTGTCAGATGAAAGAGAAAATGGAAAAAACAAAAACACATAAGATTTCTAATTCAAACCAACAGTGGTTGGGAGGGTGAGACAGAATGTAAGAAGGTTTAAAGATGGATTATATTACATTTCAACTACGTCAACTGGGGAAATAATAGCACTTGCAATATAATCGCAATTTAACAAAATGCAGTTTTCAAATCACAAGGGTGCTAAATTTTAATCACACTACATTTAAAGTCGTAGGAAATTGCTGTTCCAACCATTGCAGTTCTGAATTCTCTCCTATGGTGCCCGACGAGTGAATAAAGTGAATGGTGATTGGTTGTTTATCAAGGCGGCGGGATTGTTGTGGCGGAAGGTTTGCAATGTTTAGCAAACATTGTCCCAAGCATCTTGCTAACCAGTTAGCAACTTAGTGCTAGTAGGTTCCCAATGGGAAATTCCATTGGGACCAAGTAGCACTAAATTTGTGACTTAGAAACGACGCTGTCAAGGAACGCTATAACAACATGCAAGAAGAGGAGAGTTTTGTGTCGGAGGTTGTGGATGAGTCTCCTCCGTCATCCATTTTTTATTTAGAGGAGGAAAACAGGGACGAAGTTGTTGTTGAAGAGGACGCCAGGGCGGCAGAAGCTTGGTTTGGTGTAGAAGGCTTACAGCCGTGCATGTTTGAGCCCTTGCCTCGCAACGCTGCCAGTTCTCTTAGCTCTACGCCTGCTGAAGACACAGATGTCCATCACCGTGGACATTGGGACGGAACTCAATGGTAAAGGAAATTATTCTTATTTCAACCGTTGCGTATATTAGCTGTGACATATGAATCAAGATGCTATGACCAAAAACATTTGATTAACAGATGACCGTTGATATATGATTGAACAAATTTAGGTGTACAAGCTGACATATACCAACTGGCCTGCAAAAGATAACAGAAAAAAAACACAGATGTTAAGACAGGATTTTTTTTTTAAATAGAAATTTTCTAATTTTGTTGTCTGATAAAGAGTACATTTATATACATGTTTAAGCCAGAATGATTTGACATTTAAATATGACTTCCCTATGACCTTAACAATAGTAAGACACTAAATTTCTCCCTCCAGCCCTATAGGTGGTGGTTAAATCCTTTAAGTGGGTTTGTCGCCGCACAGAAAGGTAGAGAAAACTGCGGCCAACAAACAAATCCATACTTGCAAGTAAAAGTAAACACTTTTTCACACAATGGTTACAGTAAAGTCCTGTAATAATGGAGACTTGGCAAGCAAGCTCTCAAAAACTGAATGCCTGGGTGAAACATCTATAAGCTTGGGGTTAGTGCAAAGGAAAATTGAAATCAAATCGCATCGCAATTTTAGTTAGAAAATTTGCAATTTAGATTTCTGGTAAAATTGTTCAGCCCTAATTCCTAGTTGAAGTTGAAGGAAGTTTTTGGCTGTCCTAATCAGACCTTTAAGATTTTCATTTCTTGATCAACATCAGTGTTCTGGTGTAGTACTGTAAGGGAGACTTGGAGAGCCAGCAGAGGCACACAAAGGGCTGGATAAGGATGTTTTAATGTTGGCACCACACAGAACTCATGGCAGCTCTGACCTTTTCTACTCAAGCTGTTGCAAATAATCAGAAAGAACAACTCTGCCCTCATCTTAGAGGGAGTGGCCTAGTGGTTAGAGCTTGGAATCCAGAGGTTCGAGTTCAAACCCCACTCCCACAGACTGACACTCTAGGTCCCTAAACAAAGACCCTTAACTTCACACAGCTCCCTGGGCGCCGCACAATGGCAGCCCACTGCTCCCCAAGAGGATGGGTTAAATGCAGAGAGTTCATTTCGTTGCTCTGTACTTGTGACAGTGTAATGGCAATAAAGAAAAAAAGCTAGTCTTCTTCCCACCCAACCTTGGGGAATTTACCATCTCCATGCAGCGCTCTGGACCTTTTGCTAAAGCTGTGTTATCTCTGCGCTCATGGCAGGTAGCATCTCCCTCAGGAGGAGGTAGACCTGGAGCTTCTTGAAGATCCCAAAGTCCTCTTCACAGGAGCTTAAAGTTCTTGATGACTTATTGTTCTTTCAGCTGCTATATACTAAGCAGGAGTTTTCATCATACGAGGCCAATTTGTTGCAAAATAACGCCTGCATGCTTTTCTGTAGGAACTCCTGCTCCTCTTCGAGAGCATCCACCTCCTGCTTTGATTAATTGAGTTTTGATATCACTGAAACTAATACAGTTCTTTGCATTTAATGGGCATCTCTGTGATATCTTAAGCTTTAAGTGAGTTTGAAGGCAGGGAAATAAGGCTGCATGAAAGGTGTTTGGAATCATTTCAGACTAGAAGGACTCCCCTGGATTATTGATTGTTTTACAGATCAAGACCAGAGCCATTTCAAAAAGGCATGAACTGACATTTTTGCCTTTCAGATGTTAGATTACTATGTTAATCAGTCAATGAGAGGGAGAGGCATGATGAAAAATATGTTTCATCAAACAATAACAAACTAGAGTTGATCTTTTAGAGCTCCCTAGAATTGCAGTTTTTACAGGTCTTTCCCCCCTCTAGTGGTGAAAAGAATTAAAACAGATGGATTTCCTCCTGCTATAGTAGGTTTGATTCAATCCCTGCCATTTAAATCAGTACACACCTGTAACATTTCTTTATGTCCTCTGTTGTGGCATTCTTGTCGACTCCGAGCACAGCATACAGTGATTCTCCTGAAGTGGACAGCGTTCTCTGCCGCTGATGGTCCATGGCTGCTCTGTTACTCTCTTCTTCCCTTCTCCTACTGGCTCCTCTTCTCACTCAGCTTTTCCTTTAAACAAAAGAAAAGGGGAACAATGAACAATGGACGCTCTGCTCGTATATAGGTTGGACTTTATTAATGAATAAACAGACAAAATAATCAAACCAAAAATGTGCGACACGCAGCAGTTCAAGGCGAATAGGGCCAGAGGGCGATTCAACGACTGTAAACGTCTTATTATTAGAGAGAGAACTCCTACATATGAACCTACAGCAGGTTTTACAACCCATAGATTTCAATAGCTCACAATAAAAGGGGCATTAGATGGCATGAACCTTAATGGAGGTTTAGACTCCTTTAGTTTCACGAATTATACAGATCATTAGCCCTAATTACTTGTGGCTGGAAATTAGGAGGGGAATACAAATGTATTTCTTTTTCTTTTCCATTATTTTACAAAGAGGTAAACAAACATGTCTGTAAACACATCAAGAAGCCTGTTTGACGCAGTTTCCTGTTATTTAGTCATATGTTCAGAACAAAGGTTTGGATTTATGGCTGTAGCCATTAGATTTACAGATATGACAGAACAGGCCCATACTGACGTATTTTAATATAACATTTATGGCCAAAAACCAACATTATCTACAGTTCTCTAGCCTTTAAACACTGTGAAAAATAACCACAGCTCTCATATTGCTTCTCTTAAGTTAAAAACCCACAAATCCTGTGCTGCATCACCATCACAAGACCAAACCAAAAATCATGGGGCTAACCTCTTCCACATGAATGCATATCCAAACTGCAACCAAAAGGAAAAAAAAAAAAACATCACTTAACCATATCAGATCAGTTTTACTGATGGAGCCGATACCAATGATGCAGATGTATAGATATTCCCTAGTGGCAATGCTTCAGAACTATTGTGCTCCCAAAAAAATGTCACACCCCGAACACTTAAAAACAAATGAGCGCTTTAACTGCAGTTTTAACTGGCTTTAATTATTCAACTAAATGCCATGAAAAATCATAAATAGATAAACAAATCCAGTCATGAATACTGTTGTTCTCCAAAAGAAGCCCAAGGTCCAAAAAGCCCATGGTTCCCCCAAGAATTAAACATCAATCCAAAATATCTAAATATTAAAAAAGAATCTAAATTGAGAACCTTAAAGATGGGGTGACAAGTTTAAGAGCACTCTGCTTACTTTATTTACCGTCAATTATAGAGTCTTCAGATACTAATGTTTAAAAATAAAGCATTTTTTTGCGGGTTCTGTTTTTTTGCCCATACCAAGCGTTTGACGCCACTCTGGGACATTGGCTAGCCAAAATGTCTGGTATACACACTGAAAAGGATAGCGATAAGTGACGAAAATACTTATGAATCATCGTCAAGGTACAATTTTTCAACGGATGCCAAACAGAATCCAGTCGACGAACAGGTTCTGCAGCTGCTGCCCTATAAGTTTGCACCTAACAAATCATCGAAGGAGGAAAAGGAAGGGAAGATGGAGTCAATTGGGATAAATAGGAGACGAGAATAAGATGATGACTGAACATCTACAGACTTTAAAAATGAGTGTGAAGAGTGTGAAATGTTCGAATGGTATGTTTTCAACCACTAAGAGAGGTCTAAGTGACTTGTTTAAGCTTTTAAACCTGACAGGGCCCAACATGGCTCAGCTGACATATGTGCATCTTGAGCTATTTATAGATACCAGTGTAGCTTTGCTAGGTATCTATTGCTAAAAATAACCATAATAATAATGTTTGAACCAAACAGTTTTGGATCTTCATACTTTAGATCTCACATGGCAAAAATAATGAAAAACATTATTCAACAACAATGTACAGTAGGGTTATTCTGCACAATGTCATTCCATAACCCTAGAGCGAGTCACACCAGTTGCACTGAATGCAGTAGAGAGGCTTCTTCTACGCAGGGTGAATAGTTCCAGATCTATGCAGATTTTATTTATTTATTTTTTTAACTTCTGTCCCAATGCCCCAAATATTGGAGCAATATCCTGCATCTTACTGGGTCAGATTATAAAAACTTTTTACTTAAAAAAAAAAAAAGTATGAAAGAAATAAAACAGCCATCAAGACTTTAAAGCCTTGCCTAACTTCATTACCAGTCTGCTCCAGTATGCTCAAACGGAAGCAGACAGAGAATTTTAATAGATTAAAGAATGTGTAAAAAGAAAATGCAGCAATAAAGGCCGGGTTTAAACACATAAGCGACAGAGGTGATTTTCAGACAGCGATCTGGGGAGAATGATAAACCTTAGGGGTGTAAATAATAATCGTTTTGTATCGATGCATCGATCCAACAGCTGACGATCCAATGCATCGATACGTCCGCAAGAGTATCGATTCATGTTTTTTTTTTCCCCCCTCTGGTCTATTTTTATCCATTTGCTCCTGGGCGTAATTTTCCTCCCGTGCTGCGGTGGCGCTAAACCTATTTTGCCCTCCTATCGCGCTTCCTGGTTATACTCTTACAGCCATAGATATTCATAATAAAGGCTAGATGTCTCGTCCGCGCTGCTGGCCAATGGGGGTCGACGTCCGCACGTGGCGGCCATCTTGCCACAGGCAGCTCGCTCATTCGTAACATTGTGTTTTAAAGGCGCATGTACTTAACCATAACTTCCTGAATTGTCTAATTGTTTGGTTTGTTAAACAAAAGTCAGACATGTAGTTATGATACTGCACACTTATGAATAATTATAACCATGGTATTTCATATGAAAAGAACATTGAATAGAACATACAGGTGCAATAAATATACACATGCACAAGGTATTTATGTTAAATCAATATATGCTATTAAAACTCAGTGTACTGAATGGCAACATGATATATAGATATATCTATAGATATCTATATAGATATAGATACCTATATATATAAATATGTGTATATATATATATATATATATATATATATATATATAAATATGTATATATATAAATAAAATTATGTATATATATATATATAAATATGTATATATACATATTTATATATATTTTTTAATATGTGTATATATATATATATAAATAAACACTTTTATTTGGGTGTGATTAATTATTTCACAGTCCTAATTTATTTATATTTATATACATACTTTTATAATATGAATATTATTGTTATAATAAAATATGGAATACTGACAGAAAAGGCTTATTGTGTGGCAACCTCTTGGTGTAGCAGCATAATCCAGGTTTCAAATTAAAGGTAACACTTTGAAGTTTCATGTAGACTATTCGGATTATATATCAGGGGTAATTACACAAAAGTTCCTATTTTTAAACCATTATAAAAGTGACATTTATTTGCTATTAAAATTGGTACAATAGTCCCCTTCACAAGTATATATAGATGTAGCATGTTGAAATCCCCACCTACACTACTGTGATGGTATACACATGGAAGACAGAGATTTAAAAAATGACCCAAAAAACATAGCTTGGCTAATGCCCTTTGAAAAGGAAGGTTTTATTGAGCTTCTGTGTAATGTACAAGAGACCGTTGTCCACAAGGCCATCAAAGCGGACAGGAAGGTAGCTGTGGTCATGTACTAGTGCAGGAATGTCAGCAAACGGGGATGGAAGATCTTCTCCTCCTGCTTACACATTATATAACCTGCAGAAACAAAAATAAAAGTGACCAACAACAATTCACGGTGTATAAGATTGGTATATCAATATGTGATTAAATTTCAATGATACACATGCCCTCTGAAGATGAGCTGGAAAGTTGAAAATGTTTGGCACAACACCATCTTTAAGTTGTCCAAATGAAACTAATACAAACTTATAAAAGCTTTGAGTCAACAACAATCTTGTAATACTATTATGTCATAGCAAAAGTCTGGCATCTTCCTTTTAATAAACCCAGCAAATTCCTGTAACATAATGTAAGATGTGTTGACAGACCAAATCGATTGGAAATCATGTTAAATTCTGCCTCTTCCACTGATGTAAAGTTGCTGGTTAACGTTAGCAGCTAGCTAAACTGTAACGTTAGCTGCTAACTTACTAACGTTAGGTCTCACTTTGCAGCTTCTTGTTATTAGCCAGCTAACGTTAGGCTAATAATGAAAATACAACAACACTCAGATTATTGTTATTAGCCAACTAATAACTACAACCACATCCACAAATATTGTAATTTACACCAAATATTAATTGTCATACAATCGTTATTGGTGTCAGTAAAACCTATATAATTGACTAATAATCTCAGCCTTGATAACTTGCGCAAGTAGCCGTGATGCACAACTATGCTGCATGATTAAGTCATTTTTCGACAAGAAAATCTGCAATTTCGACATGTTCAAGCATCAAGAATAATAGCCACGTTCATAATGTTTGTAAGAAACCAAACTGTTTGTAAATCCGTCAAGAATTCAGTGAGATAAGAGTATTTGTGTTTGTGCTGATCACTCACCTTACATTAGGTACCACAGAGCACAACAGAAAGCCTGCCTGAGGTAAGATGGCCGCCGGTGATGACGTTTGAGACTCCGCCGTAAGACATCTAGCCTTTATTATGGATATCTATGCTTACAGCAGTGTGTTGCAGTGAGCTTAACACAGACATTTTTGATTTATGCCCAATATTGAAGCGTGGTCTGCGCTATAAGCTGTGGGTCTAGATACGGCCGAGGTGGTGAGGAAGTGGGGGCGAGTTTGGTCCGACAACGGAGGGAGATGAGGGCCAAAAAGAGCGAAGATCCAGGTGAAAAAAGGGTCCCAGCATTCTAACGCACATCGCTCTTCTAGCGGATCAAACTTCACGAGTTGTTTTCCGCAATTTCGGACATAAAAACAAAACAAGCCGGCCTCTTGTCTGCGACAGTTTGCATTTAGCTACAATTTGGGAGAGGTGCAGCGGCGCGTCTGTGGAGGGGGCGGGACGTCTGGAGCCGAGGTATTGAGTTGCACTCACTGTGCTGATTTTGTGCAGTATTTTTTGATGCAAAGCCTTTCAGAATCTATAACGCAGGGATATTATTATTTTTCTGTGAATGAGGTTTTAATAGGAATAGGTGGAGTACA